TAAAGGTGCCATGCACTGTATTGACATTATTAGCAACCATAGTGCCTAAGGCACTTGACTGTTAACCAGAAGGCTGGCAGTTCAAGCCCACCAGCCACTCCTGGGAAGGGAGATTGGGTGATCTACTTCCGTAGTGATACCACCTCGGAAACCCAAGGTGGGGCCGCTATGGGTTGGAGATGACTTGACAAAACATAACAACAACATCCAGTCCCCTTGGTGGCCCACAAACACTCATTTGCATAGTTCCATCAAGTCATTTGGTGGGAGTTACAAAGACTGGTTTAAAGGGCCATATTAAGTAATTTACTGAACCGCAGAAGTTATCAAGGATTTCATTTCCCTTGGATCTACAGTCAGTGCCCATGGATGCAGTAGGTAAGAAATCAAAGGATTGTATTGGGCAAATCTGCTGCAAAGGACCTCTTTAAAGTGTTTTAAGAGCAAAGATGTCATTTTGAGGACCAAGGTGAGCCTGACCCAAATCATGGTAGTTTCAGTTGCTTCCCATGCACGTGGGAGCTGGACAACAAATAAGGACAATTGAAGAAGAGTGGATGCATTTGAACGTATTGGCCAAAAACATCGAATATACTGTGGACTTCCAGGAGAGGAAATCAATCTATCTTGGAACAAGTACAACCAGAATACTCCTTGGAAGCAAGATTGGCAAGACTTCATCTCATGTACTTGGGACATGTTATCAGGAGGGACCAGTCCCTGGGGAAGCACATCACGCTGGGTGAAGTAGAGGGTCAGTGACAAAGAGGAAGACCTCCCATGAGGTAGACTGACGCGGTGGCCGCCACAATGGGCCCACATGTAGCAGCGGTTGCGAGAACGGTGCAGGCCCGGGCAGTGCCACACACAGGGCTGCTAGGGAGGCAGAGCTGACCTTACGGCACCTACGAACAACACTTCCCTACTAAACCCCATAACTGGGAGTATGATCTTTGAGTCCCGTGTGGCTACTACAGTGAATTACTGAACCCAGCAGAATAGTAAGAGTGCCGTGGAAGGGACGGCTGGTGTCAGAATTGGTGAAAAGGTTGGAGACAGGAGGTATGTCCGACCTCCACCTCATAGGAATCGTCGTTGGGCTGTTGGTGCTGATCCTGACTTCTCCCACCGCATTAACTTAAGGAAGTCCGACGCGCCACCATGTTGTTATTACAAAGGTCCGTCCACGGCATAGCACATACCAGGGCTTCATTCTTCTTTGTGGCTAAATGACACAGCTTCTGTGTATGAACTATGTCTTGTTTGTTCATTTGTTTCCCTTCTTGGTTTGTGATTTTGGAGACCTCCTTACGGAGCACACCTGCTCTGTCGGGTTTTCTCAGCTGTAATCTTTACTGAAGCCAATCTACAGGCCTGTTTTCTCCTGCAGTTCCGCTGTGGGGGTTCGAACCGCCAACCTTTGGGTTAGCAGCCAGGTGCAGACTGTTTATGGTGCTGCTCAGGGCCTCATCCAGCCATCCACTGATGGACACTTGGCTGGTCTTCCCCTTTTTGGCGCCTGTGACCCACCAGTGTTCTTGGTAATCTTTTCCCTTATCTGCTGCCCATTTGCACACGGTCCCTTAGGCTGCCCTGCCCACTCTGGGAGAGGAGATGGTCCCTGTCCATGAAACCAAATAACCCAGAAACCCCGTGCCTGGCTACACAACAAACACTGAACTCTGGAAAAACACGGTGCCCGGTGCCAAATGCCACCAGGGATCCAGGCAGCGGACAACTAAGAATAGAGCGAGGAATTTGGCGGTGGGGCGGTGACCTTCAGAGTGTCATTGGGGGGGACTGGGCGGAAGCCTGGGGGTGGGGACAGAGGAGGGGGGCGGGGGGCAGTGAGCCGAGTGGAAGCAGGTGCAGACCTCGGTGGCGAGGGGAAGACGGAGGAGGGGCACAAGGTCAAGTTAGGGTACGGCCTCAACACCAGCTTCTGCAAACACTGTGGTTGCATGGCGGGTACCTGGACTGGGTTCGAGGGAATTTTCTGGAATGATGAAAACGTTGTGTCTCTCGTTTGGAGTCGTGGTGACAAGGGTGCACACATTTGTTGGAGAAGCCCTGGTGGTGCAACAGTTACGCACTCAGCTGCCAGCTGAAAGGTTGGAGGTTGGAAACCCACACAGTGGGGCTACAGGCAAGGCCTGGTGATCTGTCCCGTCAGGATCACACCCTAAAAAACCCTACGGGGCCATTCTCCTGTGTCACATTGCTGTGAGTCGGAACCAACTCACGGGCGCCAAAGAACCCTGGTGGCACACAGCTTAAACACTTGGCTGCTAAGTGCAGGGTCAGAGGTTCAAACCCACCAGTGACTCCTCAGGATGAAGCAGGTGGTGATCTACTTCCATGAACCCACAGACCCTAGGGGGAAGCTGCCCTCTGTCACGGGGGGTCGCAGTGAGTTGGAACTTTTTTGTTGTTGTTTTAATAGGTTGGATTTTTTTCTTTTTTAAAAATTTTTATTGTGATTTGGGTGAAAGTTGACAGAGCAAATTCATTTTCCATACAGAAGTTCATACACCTTTTGTCTCATTGACTGCAATTCCCCACAATGCAACAGCTCCCCTCCCACTTCCTCCCCATAGTTGCCTCTTCCCCGTGTCCTTCCCTCCATGCACTCCTGCCCCGCCCCCCAGCTGTCTCCCTGTGCAAACACTGCCCTTCTACTCTCCCAGGATTGATCTCTCCAAGGACTCTGTCTGTCTGATGGAAATGGTCACCCCACAGGCCTGTCTGTTGTTTGGCTGGAAGCCACGGGAGTGAGTTCAATTCCAGACCGGAAGGGTAACTAGGGGCCATGGTCTCAGGGGTCTCACCAGGCCCTATCAGACCAATAAACCTGGTCTTTTTTATTTTTTTTAAACTCATTCTGAGTTTCCACATTGCTCTCCCACTCTAGAGTGGGGATCGATTTAATGGCACCTGGGATTGATTTAATGGCACCTGAGAACATCATATGTCATGTTTTTGTTAAAACTCATCAAACGGTACCCTTAAGGTCTGTGCCTTGTATGGTGGAGAAGCGAAAACTGACTGCTGAGCAGAAGACACCACGGGGGGGGGGGGGGGGGGAGAGGGCTGCTTCTCAGGTTTCCAAGAGGAAAGGCAAGTTTACTTAAACAAGTTGCCTTTCACCCACCTTGGCCCTTAGTTGTGTCCCTAGCGCTTGAACCTCGCCGTCCCTTCTCCCAGCTGGGGAGAATGTTCACAGCACCCCCCCTCCGTGTGCTTGGCTGCTAACTGACAGTTGGGTGGTTCCGGCCTTCCCAGCGGCTGTGCAAGAGAAAGACCTGAAATCCACTTCCATGAAGATTAACTCACGGCCTTTGAGTCAGCGGCGACCTCCCTGGGTTTGCGGGGTTGTGAGTCTTGACAGGAGCAGACCACCCTGTCTTTTTCCCACAGAGCAGTTGGTGGGTTCAAACCACCGACCTTGGGGTAGCAGTCAAACGCCTTAACCGCTACGCCACCAGAGCGCCTTCCATAAAGATTGCAGCCTAGGAAAGCGTGTGAGGCTCTTCTACTCTGTCACAGGGTCCCGAGGACCTAGAAGCGACTCGGTGGCGCCCAGTAACCCCCCGGGGGCTGGGCTCCGTGCACGATCTCGTTGAATGCTCACAGCAGCCCAGCCCCGTGAGCCGGAGCCCGTCCTCATCTTCATTTGCCTCCAAAGGAGACTGAGCTTCAGAGATGGAAGCCACCAGCCCAGAGCCACACAGCAAGTGGGGAGCCAGTTTGGGATTCAAGCTCAGGCCGAGAGTCCTAGCTGCCTTCGAGTCGGCCCTTCCTCCTGGTGGCCCCGGGTGTCAGAGCAGAACCGTGCTCCGTGCCGAGTCATCAGACATCACCAGGCCTGTCTTCCAAGGAATCTCTATGGGGACTCGAACGTCCAGCCTCTCGGTTAGCTGCTGAATGCTCAGTCATTTGCAGCACCCAGGGACCCCAGACATCGGGTCACACCGCTCAGTTCTCCCCACGTGGGTCCTTGTGACGGAGCCCTGGTGGCGCAGTGGTTAAGTGCTCGGCTGCTAACTGAAAGGGCAGTGGTTCGAACACACCAGCCACTCTGCGGGAGAAAGATGTGGCAGTCTGCTTCCGTAAAGACTCAGAGCCTTAGATTCCTCTAAACCACAATAAAATATTTGGGAATAAAAAGTAAAACCATGTAAAACCTCTGGGCACTCTGATGTCATAGTGCCTGAGGCACTTGACTGCTAACCAGAAGGCCAGCAGGTCAAACCCACCAGCCACTCCTCAGAAGGAAGATTGGGCAGTCTACTTCCTTAGTGTTACTGTCTTGGAAACCCAAGGAGGGGTCGCTATGAGTCAACTCAAGTCAATGGCAGTGAGTTTGGTTTGGGCTTTGCTCCCATCAAGACTGACAGCCTTGGAGACCCTGTGGTGCAGTTCCACTCTGTCCTCTAGGGGCGCTGTGGGTCAGAATCCCCTCCAGGCACTGGGTTTGGTTTGGGCTTTGCTTCTGTGAAGGTAGGAGCTCTGGTGGTGCAGTGCCTAAGGCACTTGACTGCTAACCAGACGGCTGGCGGTTCACACCCACCAGCCAGTCCTCGGAAAGAAGGTTGGGCAATCTACTTCCTAGTGATACCGCCTCAGAAACCCAAGGAGGGGTTGCTATGAGTCAGATCCTACTCGATGGCAGTGAGTCTGGTTTGGGTTTTGTTTTTTAAACCTCGGGGTGACGCAGTTTTGCTCTGTCCTCTAGGATTTCTCAGGGTCTGAGCTGACTGGATGGCAACGGGTCTGGGTTTTTTGTTTTTGGTGTTGTTCTTCACCGTCATAGTTCAGCACATCCAGGAGTTCAGGCCGGTCTTGAAGGAGGGCTTCCTGGAGGCGGCATAGCGACCCGGATCACTGGATCCATCCCACCCTGGAGCAGATGCGTTCCGCAGACCGAGATGCCCCCCTGTCCTGCCCCAGACGCCCTGCCTGTGCCGCCCCAGCCTCACGTCTGTCCCTTTGTCCCCAGGATGACACGGCACGGCAAGAACTGCACGGCCGGCGCCGTGTACACCTACCATGAGAAGAAGAAGGACACAGGTACTGGGCGGGGCCCGATGTGTCTCACAGCCCCGCCCTCTGCACCTCTGGTTCTGCTCTCTGTCCTGGTGTCTCGGCCCAGCCTGGCCTCTCTGCTAATCATCTGAGTAACAGCTCACACCCTTAAAACACCCACCCCATTACCTGCTTCTGGGCCACGAGCTCGTTTAACCCTCAATACCCCAGTGAAGGAGGCACCAGTATCAGCACAATGTTTCAGGGGGAAGCTGAGACCCAGAGGAGCCTTAAACCGAGGCAAAGAGTCACCCGTGAGCCCCTTCTCCGAGCTGTGGCTCAGTGATGGTCCACCCGTCTGTCTGTTGCTTGCTGTCTGGAGGTTAACACCTCCTGACGGGGTCCTGTCTTTCGGGACGTACACACAGAGACAGACACGTCCCGACCAAGCCGTGGACTTCCCCAAACCCTCTTCCCACCCCAGGTTCTCCCGGGGTACGGACAGGGGCATGTCTGTCCCTCCATCCCACTGTCCGTCTCTGTCCCCAGCGGCCTCAGGCTACGGGACCCAGAACATCCGCCTGAGCCGGGACGCTGTGAAGGACTTTGACTGCTGCTGCCTTTCCCTGCAGCCCTGCCACGACCCCGTCGTCACGTGAGCTGGGGACAGGTCGGGAGCGTGAGGGGACGATACAGAGGGGCGGCCCCTGGGCAAGCCGCTGATCTGCTAGAGCCTTGATGTTCCCGTCTGTGACATGGGTGCAATCCTAGGGCTGGTTTCAGAGCGTATGGAAGGGAGTACAGTCCCGCTGGGGTGGGGCTCTGGAGCAGGGCCTCTGGTGGCCAGCAAAGGGTTCCACTTAGCAGTGACTAGGTACGCGCTCAATTAACAGTCTCTTTTAGAGAGACAACAATGAGAGTGACTGTCATTCAGGGGTCCTTAAGATCACCTTCAGTTTCCATGATTCTCTCAAAGGGCTCAGAACTCAGTAAAACCATTGTACTCCTGGCAAAGGTTTATTATTAAGAAAACCAAGCAAACTTGTAGCCATCGAGTCAATTCTGACTCACAGCGCCCCTAGAGAACAGAGTGGAACTGCACCACAGGGTTCCAAGGCTGTCAATCTCTACAGAAGCCAACTGCCTCATTTTTCTCCCATGGAGCGGCTGGCAGGTTCCAACCCCCGACCTTTTGGTTAGCAGTTCAGTGTTTAATCATTGCACCAGCAGGGCTCCTGTTATCACGAAAGATATGAATTAACCAGCAGAGGTGAAAGACGCATATAGGGCATACAGCCCAGGGAGACCAGGTAGCAGCTCCCAGTTGTCCTCTGTGTGTGGAGGCCCGCGGTCAGAGCTTGTTTCTCCCAGCGCCAGCGTGCGGTAGCACACACAGAGCACTGCCCACCAGGGAAGCCCAGCCAAGCCTGGCGCCCAGGGACTTCATTGGGGGTCGGTCATGTGGACATGGCCGACTGCCCACGTAGCTGACCTGAGTCTCCAGCCCTTCTGGAGGTCAAGCTGACAGCATGTGGCCCCAGGGCTCCCACAGTGAATCCTGTTGTTAGCTTAGAGACCTGACTTGGGCCCAGGCCCCTTTAGGGGGTCTAGAGGTTCCCTCCCGGGAGCAGAGCAAGTGCCACACCTTTCTTTGGAATGTGCAGGGTTTGGACACCCAGGCCTGCAGCGTTAACCCTTTTATTGCCTTCCCCTACAAAACATCGGAGGATACTGCAAAGCTACGATTGTTAAAACAGTATGTCCCCAGTGGAAGCATCCATCTCCAGGAGCTGAGCTGAGTGTTTAGTGAGACGTTACCTTGAAGACACATAGTAGGTGCCCAGTGCAGGGAGCTGATGTTTGGCCCGTACCTGTTAACCCCTGGCTGTGCGGCCTGGGCCAGACCTGTGTGTCCTCACAACCGCCCTCTGTCTGCAGCCCGGACGGCTACCTGTACGAGCGTGAGGCCATCCTGGAGTATATCCTACACCAGAAGAAGGAGATCGTCCGGCAGATGAAGGTGACGGCGAGGCGGAGGGGGCGCGGGCGTGGGCAGGCGGCTTGGATGCTGCGCTCGCGGGCCCAGCAGCGCTAGGCCTCCCGGTCCATGCTGCTTTCCCCTCTGGGCCGTCACCTGTGCTGTTCCCTCCTCCTGGTCCCCTGTTCCTCTCACTTCTCCTGCGTAAATCCTCACTCTCCAGGACTCGGCCCAGAGGTGGCTCCTCCAGCCACCCGCCAGCCCAGGGTCCCTGGGGGTCTGCCCTCATCACCCGGGACCTCTTCTGTTAGCACATGTCACACTGTAACTCCACACAGAGCACGTGGCCACATCCCCCCCTGGACTGTGGGTCCCAAGCATCAGGAGCAGGTCTCTTCTGCCCACTCTATGGCCATGGGCCATCAAAAAAATACCCATTAAATGGATGGATGGTACCTCATCTCACTGGTCCGTTTTCTCGTCTGTAAAATGAAACTAGTATTAGTAGCCATTTGAGTTGATTTTCGATTCATAATGATGCCATGTGACAGAGAACTGCCCCACAGGGTTTCCAGGGCTCTGCTTTTTATGGAAGGAGACTGGACGTCTTTTTCCTGGGAAGCTGCTGGGTGGGTTTGAACTACCACCCTTTTGGTTTGTAGCAAAGCACTTAACCATTTTGCCACCAGGGCTCCTTAAAATGGGCCGAGAGGCCCAGGTTATAGGATGCATGGGGAAGGTGGGCAGGTAGGAACCCACACAGCGCTTACCCCAAGCCAGGCACTGTCTTCTGTAGGGAGCTCAGTTCCCAGACAGGAGGGGTCATGTCTGTCACCCCCTTCGAGTCAGTCTGTCCCCTCCCTCCCTGGTTCTGGAGCTCAGCTAACACCCAGGGGCTCCCGACCCTTGGTCACTCCTCCCGCCCCCCCGCAGGCGTACGAGAAACAGCGGGGCGCACGACGAGAGGAGGAAAAAGAACTGCAGCGGGCCGCGGCCCAGGACCAGGTGCGGGGCTTTCTGGAGAAGGAGGCGGCCATTGTCAGCCGGCCCCTCAACCCCTTCACGTCCAAGGCTGCCTCCGGGACCGGCCCAGGTGAGCGCAGGTGGAGGAGGGGGCGGCTGGGGTGGGGCCTCCCAGTTGCGGCCTCTGAGGGCCTCCCTACCCCATAGATGATGCCAGGCCTGGCCCCAGCGATGGCCCCGCAAGCAAGGACAAGGACAAGGACAAGGCGCTGCCTAGTTTCTGGATCCCATCGCTGACGCCCGAGGCCAAGGCCACCAAGCTGGAGAAGCCTGTGAGCAGCCCCAGTGGCCCACGCCCACCTTGGAGGGGGGAGGGCCGGAGCTCCGGCTGGCCGTGCCCCGCCTCGCATCCCCAGGCCCTGACCCTGCGTCTCCTGCCACCCGCAGTCCCGCATCGTGACCTGCCCCATGTCGGGGAAGCCGCTGCGCATGTCGGACCTGACGCCCGTGCGCTTCACGCTGCTCGATGACTCGGTGGACCGCGTGGGGCTTATCACGCGCAGCGAGCGCTACGTGTGCGCCGTGACCCGCGACAGCTTGAGCAACGCCACGCCCTGCGCCGTGCTGCGGCCCTCGTGAGTCACCCGGGGAAGGGGACGCCCGCCCAGGGGCGCTGCGCGGCAGGGGGCGCCCCGGGCTGGGCCTCTCACCGGCGGCCCCACCTTGTTCCCCAGCGGGGCCGTGGTCACCCTCGAGTGCGTGGAGAAGCTGATTCGGAAGGACATGGTGGACCCGGTGAACGGGGAGAAGCTCACGGACCGCGACATCATCGTACTGCAGCGGGTGAGTGGGTGCCCCGGCCCCGCCCCTTCTGCCCCGGGCCCCGCCCCTTCTGCCCTGGCCCCGCCCTCTGTCACACCCCCAAGTCCGTCCCTCTGTCACGCCCCCAGCCCCATGCTGACCTCCGGCCCCCTCCACTATGGGCTATTCTGAGTCCCGCCTCTTTCCACTGCTCCCTGGAGCCCACCTCTTCCTTTTGAGGGACCCTGCTCCTTCTCCCCCTCCCGGAAGCTTTGCTCCAACCCCCTACGGGGCGGCCACCACCCTGTCCGTTCTGCCCAAGAACCCGACCCTGCCCCTCTCTCTGCTCTCTTGGGTGCGCGAGCCCACCCCATTCATCCGGCCGGGCTTGGGACCCCTCACACCGCCTCCACCCGCCTTCTGTCCTCCGTAGGGTGGCACGGGCTTCGCCGGCTCCGGGGTGAAGCTGCAGGCTGAGAAGTCACGGCCGGTGATGCAGGCCTGAAGCACGGGGCCGGCGGGAGAGCGAATAAAGGCGCTTGGACTTGGCCCACATGTGGTGCCTTCTTTGGCCGCGCGCGTCGGGGGACTGAGCCGGCCGGCGAGCTGGGTGCCCTAGCTGTCTGCCAGCTGGGATTTACATTCAAAAGAGCGACCAAAAACATCGGGGCCTTTCTGAGTTGACAGCGAAAGCACCAGCTTAAAATTGGTCGAGGAGGGGCCAGAGTCGAAGTCCCAGCCACGGCCGCATGGGGGCGCCAAGTAATTATAACTTAAACAGGAATCCCCTCTGCCTGTGTCAGGGTTCTCCAGAGTTAGGCCGGGCCAGCTTTGAAGCGTGTGCTAGCGCTGCAGCTGGTCTCCCAGAGTAAAGTTGTCGGGATGCCCACGGAACAGAGGGGGACAAGGCGGCTCCCACGCCCGTGACTGCTAGAGGGTTAAACGGAGGCGGAACCTGCCAGTGCAAAGGCCGGGGTTCAGGAAATACTTGGCAGGTGTGAGCAACCAAGAGGAAGAGAAATGAGGGGTGAGGTCAGAAGGGAGGCCCTGTGAAGTGTGGACCCAGTTCAGTGGATCAAAGTAAAACCACATTCCCACGTCCCAGAGGTCACCCTCTGAGGCCCAGGTCTGACCTGCCGGGGTTCCTGTGCCCACACGTGACTTTATTTTTCTCAACCAAAGCGAGAAACCCAGTGTATTTATTGTTTCGTGCACTAAACAGCCCCCACCTTTCTGCTTCAGTCAATGGTCAGCTTATCAGCTGCCCAGATGCAGAGTGGAGTGAACTTGACTACCCACAGGTTTGGTCCAGTTCATCTCCAGTGCAGGATGGGCACAGCTTCTGGCTGCAGTGAGAGGTTTTACAGGCAGGAGCCTAGGTCGCGTCATCCTTGCAACCCGGAGAGCCCCCACCCCAAGACCCAGTGTTTGCACCCCAGAATATTCTAGAACCTTCCTTGGTCCCCTAGAGCCCTCATACCCCACTCTTATGTTTCAGGCCCCTTAGAAACTGGCACTGCCCTGGGCCTGCAGTCTGTGGCCCTATTGAATCGCCACCATGGCCTGGGGAGAGGGGGCTGGCACCCATTTCACAGAACAGGCCACTGAGGCTGAGAAGGGACAGTGTACCCAAAGTTGTGCTGGTCAAGGGAGCAGCAGAAGACAAGTTCATCTGGTGGCCAGTTTCCCCTGGAGACCCCCAAACCTAGTCCTGTCTTCCCGACCCTACGTACCCTCCCTCCTAAGACACCCTCCTCATTACCCTGCAGACCTCTGCACCCCAGCAAACCCCACCCCGTCCCTTTAAACCCAACGTGCTTCATATGGTCCCCTCCCCGAAACACACCAGTCCACATCCTCTTTCCAAAGACCCCTCAGCGACTGTGTGTCCCTCTAGTTTTTACACCCAGCTCCACCACTCACTCACCCTCTGAAACGCCCATTCCGTGGTGCACGCCAAGGTCATTGCTGAAAATCATTACAAATAGAAGTTTGTGTCTGCCGTTTAAGGAGCCCCAGCAGTGCAGTGGTTAATTGCTTGGCTGCTAACTGAAAGGACAGCAGTTCAAACCTACCAGCTTCTCCACGGGAGAAAGATAATGGCAGTTGGCTTCCGTAAAGATTTGCAGCCTTGGACATCCTATGTGCCATTCTCTGTCCTACAGGGTCCCTATGAGTCATGGTCAACTGAGTGGTCTACCACTTAACCCTTCAAAGACCCAAGGCACCTATAGTGCCCATCTACATATTCCATCTCTGGGATTCAGTGGGACGCTGCTATCCCACTTAAGTGTGTGCTGCCCTCTGGTGGAGGGCCTGTGTAACTGCATGAATCTGGAAAAAAATGGGCCTTTTCTCACCAACTCCAGCACAAGAGACCCTTTGGGACGTAAGTGTCACACTAATTATATGAAAATGCATCTGATCTCAACATTTTTTTTCCATTACTGAAAACGCATGGTTTCAACAAAAACCAAATTAGAAAATACTTTGTTCTCAAAAGGGTTAAGGTTGCAGTGCCAGTTTCTAAGGGGCCTAAAACATAAGAGTGGGGTATGAGGGCTCTAGAGGACCAGGAGAGGAAGCAAAAGTCACACTGTGGCTTCAGCTGTGTTAGGAGAAGGAAGAAAAAGGAAGTGAGCCAAATCCTGTCTTTCTGAACAGAGTTTCCCAAAACACTGGTGTAAAATTGAGAGCCCAGAAATGGGTGTGTTGGATTTATCTGGGGCACAGTGTGTCTGCTAGCAGCCCCGCCTGCAAGAAGCCCACACACAGCACTTTGGAAAACAATGAGAATCACTTGTTAGGATCTTTAAATGGAGAGATTTATTCTGGAAAGGTAAGACAGTTGTGATGGAGACCAAGTCTGTGGTTGCCAGTGTGAGGGGAGACTTGACTACAAAGGGGCAGGAGCAAGAGAGTGTTTGGGGAAGGGGTGACAGCTAATGTCGTGGGTTACAAGACTGCGTTTCTCAAAATTCATAGAACTGTACAGCAGAAAGAAGGAACGTCACTGTCTGTGGATTAAAAATAACCTTTTACAAAAGCAACAGCCACAAAGATTCAAAAAAGAAACTCATCTACAGGACAGATAGTTCACACAACCATAGCCTCATCTACCCTGAGACCAGAAGAACTAGATGGTGCCCGGTGCCCACTATTGACCATTCTGATCGGGGCCACAATAGATGGACCCTGATCGAATGGGAGGAAAAATGTGGAACAGAACTTCAAATTCCTAAAAAAACAAGACACAAAGACCTACCGGCCTGGTTAAGACTGAAGGAGTCTTCAAGACGATTGCCCTAAGAGGTTCTTCAAACCTTGAAGCAAACCTAACCCCTGAAGTCACCTTGTAGCTAAATACCAAATGGGCTCAAAAAATATCATCACCATGGACTCCTTTAAGAAAAATCTCCTCCATGAGATCAGATGGTCAATAATGATGTTAAAACAAAGAGGAGGGTCTAAGGGAACAGCGAAACTAGATGAATGGAAATGGAACAACCAGACAGAAACCACGAGGATGTGAAGAAGGTAATCAACGTCCCCGAGCAACCTGTGAAGAGATTGTTGAATGGGAACCTAAGCTGCTGTGTAAATCTTCCCTGGAAACACAAATATATATATATTATTTACAAATAAAAAAAGCAAGAAGCAAGGGGAGATTCTACGTCGAGAAGCAGATTTCTATTTGTCTTTGGAAACCGGCCCAACAATTCCACTCCTAGGTCCATACCCAAGAGAAATGAAACACTTCTCTGTGAGTGACCATAGCAGCCTTATTCACAACAGCCGAAAAGGGGGAACAACTGAAATGCCCATTGACAAACGAATAAGTAGGTAAAATGTGGTGTCTCCATAGGTCTTAGCTCTCTAGTGCTCCTATAGGAAATACCACAAATGGATGGCTTTTACAAACATTTATTCTCAAAGTCTGTTATTAGGTGCTGTCAAGTCAGTTCTGACTCCTAGCAACTCTATGATGGCCTGCACCATCCTCACCAACGTTGCCTGGCTGGAGGCTGTCATCCCAGGCACTGAATCAATCCATCTCATTGAAGATCTTCCGCATTTTTGCTTTACCTCTGCTTTACCAAGCATGGTATCCTGTCACAGTTTAAGAGGTTACAGGTCCAAACCCAAGGTGCTGGCTCTAGAAGGTCCTTGTCTCCTTCCAACATCTGTGGGCTCAGAGTCCCTCAGAGAGCACCACGTTCTAGCATCAGTCTTCCCCTGGGTCTAGCAGGTTCTCAGCACAGGGACCCTGGATCCAAAGAACACACTCTGCTCCCAGCTCTTGTTTCTTGGTGGCAGTCAAGTCCCTCCTCTGCTCAACTCTCTCTCCTTCTATTTCTTGTAAGATAAAAGGTGATGCAGGCCACAGCCCTGGGATACTCCCCTTGTGTCTGATCAGGGCTGTGACCTGTGAGTGAGAATGTTGCATTCTACTCTAATCCTATTATAACCGACTGATCACATCATGGGGGGTGGTGATCACATCATTCCATAACTGTCAAATCACATCATTACAACAGCCAAACCACGGAGAATCATGGCCCCACTAAGTTGACACGAATTTTGGGGACACAATTCAATCTGTGACACCATACGAGAGAATATTATTCACCCATAAAAAAGGAATGAAGCACTGACACTTGCTACAATGTGGGTGAACTTTGAAGACATGATGCTGAGTCAAAGAAGTCAGACAAAAAGGCCCCATGCGATGTGATCTTATTCATGGGAAAGCGCCAGAAGAGGTAAATCCATAAAATCAAAGTAGCTGAGTGGTTGTCTGGGACTAGGGGAGGTGAGAGGAAATGGGGAGTTTCTCTTGGGGTGATGAAAATAGTCTAAAATGGAAGAGACAAGGTCCACAATCAACACCCATGAAAGCAATAGTCAAGAGATCAAATGATGTACTGCAAAAAAAAAAAAAAAAAATCTCTTGAAAATGTTAAAAAGGAAAAATGTCACTCTGGGAACTGAGGTGTCCCTGACCCAAGCCATATTTTTATTGCTTCATGTGCATGCAGGACAATGAATAAGGAAGACTGACAAAGAATTGATGCTGTGGTGTAGTAAATTACATAGCCTGGCTTTTCTAGCCAGTCTTTGTAAACTCTGTGGTGGAATTTGCCATGAGCAACTGAGTAGCTCCTGATTGTTAAAGTTATCCACCTGAGGTATTTCTGCTGGAGCAGCACGAAGCAATCCTCTGGGAAGTTCACTCTGTCTCCCAACCCAAACCCACTGCCGTCGAGTCATATCCAACTCATAGCGACCCCTCCTTGGGTTTCTGAGGCGGTATCAGTACAGAAGTCGATTGCCGTACCTCCCTTCTGGGGAGTGGCTGGTGGGTCTCTCAGGTGTGTAGAACTCTGATGTTGGGATTGGTTGGTTTTGGCCACTCTGCCAGGCTCAAAGGAGCCCCTCCTAGAGGCAGAAGGGGTCTCTCTGACTACCAGCTGAGAAAGACGTGCTGAGAGAAATGCATTGCTGAGATGCATGAGCGAGAGACACTGCTGAGAGAGAGACGT